ACAAACCAGCCACAACTAATCACTGAACTGAACTGGAATCCAGATGCAGAGAAGACAAGTGAAGAGCAAAGGGGTCCAGAACAAGCTGGTGAAACCCCTGAAAACAGCTGACCTGAACATCGGGGAACTCTTGCTCCCCAGACTGATAGCTGGGAAACCAGCATGGGACAGATCCAGACCCCAGGGACATGGGCTTCAGTGAGGAAACCTCAGAAATCTACGGGACCTCCTGTAGTAGTTCAGTATTTATCCCCAGCACAGGTGTGGACTTTGGGAGCCCATTCCACATAGAAGGATACTCCCTGAGCCAAGACACACGGGGGGGGGGGGGGGGGGGGGGGCACTCTCACACAGAAGAGAAAGTGCCAAATGTCTGGCTCCTTATCAAGATATAACATTACAAAACCAATATTTGAAACAATGTATCACATCAATTATGAGAAATAACCCACGAAGTGATAAGGAAGTGGCAATTAAAATGGCATTTGCTTATGGTGCCATTTCTATGAATTCCACAAACTGTCCAAGAACAGACCCTTTCCATATACTCCCAGCATATAAAACATTACCATTAAAAGCTGCTGAGATGACTCAGAAGTTTTCTGCTTTTGGCGAAGGCCCAGGTTCGGTTCCCAGCACCTACTTCAGACAGTCCACAACTGTCTGTAACTGTCGCTCCAAGGGATCTGACATCCTCTTCTGGACTCCTCAGATACCTGCATTCACATACCCATTCCTGAACACATACATACATACATACATGCTGATATACATAAAAAGTAAATATTTAAAATAATTACAACAATTTATTTGCTAAAGAAAATGTGATTTTCATTTAAAATTAAGAAGCAAGATTATATAATATTTATGGATATTGATGTTTTCATTTATTTTTTTGTGTGTGGATGTCTTGCCTGAATGTATGTCTATTACCACACGTGTGCAGTGAGTGCCTCAGGAGACCACAAGTGTTGGATCTCCTGGAGCTGGAGTTGCAGACAGTTGTGAGCCAGCAAGTGGGTTCTGAGAATCGAACTCAGATCCTCTGGATGATCAGCCCTTAAGTGCTGAGCCATCTCTCCTGCCCTTGAAGACTCTTAGGAATGCTGGCTTCCTTTGAAAGCTCTACTTTGTTTTCTAGCTACAAAAAATTTCAGGGTAGCCAGGGCTGTTTAGTGAAACATTCCCTCAATTTTTCTCTCCTATTTTTTTGTTGTGTGTGTGTGTGTGGGGGGGGGTATACATGTGGAGGTTAGGGGAGTAACTTTTGGAAATCAGTTCTCTCCCTTCCATCATCAGGGCCCTGGTGGCCAAACTCAGGACTCCAGCTTTGCTTGCAAAGGCCATTACCTGCTGAGCCATCCTGACAGACTACAGCTTTATATCTTGAAACATGGCTCTGGGTACTTAACCAAAATTTACCTTCCTGTCTGTCCTACAATTGCTAGCCCAGTAGTTTCCAAAGAAGTGTGTGGCAGTCTTCTCAAGACCATCCTTGGAGATAAGGGAAGAAAACAGGAAATTTTCTGTATCTGATTTTTAAAAAATTATTTATTTATTTGCCACCCTGGGTTTTATTCAGTAGGTAGTTACAGTCGTGTCTTTGTGTTAGCTTGTGTATTGGAGCCTAGGGTGGCTCTTTGCAAAGCTCAGGTGCAAGCTAAGGAAGCCAGGCAGTTCAGGGTCACGTCCTCTTTCTCAGGCCTTGGTCTGAGCTCTCAATGCTAGACTCTCTGGCATGACTGGGATGCTATGAGAGAAACACCTCACAGGACTCATGTGAGTGCCCATCCCCCACACCCAAACCCAACAAGCCTTTACACAGGATTGCTTCTTGCAGGACCACTGGCTTGGAAACATGGGGGTGTCAGGAAAGGGCAGTAAGCAAGACCCTGGCAAGCCAACCTGTATGTCTAGGTGCCCACAGCAGAACCCACAAGTGTGCAAGAAACTGCACCGCAGGTCCCTCCCCCACAGGCCACAAGTAGAAGCAAAGTGCAACCCCTTATCACCCTGCCCAACCCTGGCAATTTCTAGATAATGACCTAAGGAAATAAGCTTACATTTATAATTAGAGGACAATTTGGGGAACTTATACCATTTACACTGGTAACCCTACCAGGAGCAGCGGATGACTACCGGGCACTTCCTGGTCATCACTGCTTTTGTCATGCCTGCCCTTCAGTTACCAGCAGAGAGAGTGGGGGGCTCAGACTCTCTGGGAGACCCTACCGCATGCATAGGTCCCGGCAGTGGCTTAGATATGACTATCATTTTGGCATGATTAGGTAAGGGGCACAGCTCGGCCCTTGCCTGCTAGCTTCCCTCAGAGGGCTTGGGGTACACTGAGCCTTTCCCTAACTAGCCACACAAGTGCCAGCATAGTGGGCAGCTTGAGTGGCAATGGCAAGGCCTGGCCTCTATTGAAGCTCAGGGATGAACTGAGACCAGTTGATGTTGTCAGGGCCCAGAGGGTCCTCCTCCAGGCCAGGGAAGCTGATGTCCAGAAGTGTCTCTCTGAGGCTGTCATTCATTGTGTCCAGGACCAGGCCTTCTCTGAGAGAACGGTTGGCTGAAAGGATGGGGACCTCCAGGTGAGTGGGCAGAGAGCTGCTAAAGGGGTCAGAGGCAAAGTCACAGGGCTCTGAGGAGCTCCCAGGGTGAGTCAAAAAGGGGAACACTTTTCAGAGGTGTGCTGTTCAGCTCCATCACTCCAGGGAATCAGGCAAGGGGCCAGAGATGCCGGGGGGAGGGGGACTCAGGGTGGGGGGGAGAGAAAGTTCATACTGGGCTGAAATCTAACCCCCCAACTTTGGGGGTGTAAGCCTCCAGGCCTCAGGGGTTCTGGAGAGCACAGACTTGCTAGGAGTGGAAGAGATGGGCAGTGTCTCCTTGACTGGGGTCTTGAAGGCATTTGAGCTGGGTTGTAGGCTCTGAAGACTCTGCCAGGAGTAGGGGCTCCATGGCTGGTCGCAATGTGCCTGGGTCCTCTGAGAAGAGCAGTTCAGGCTCATCCAGACAGGGGGGCGAAGGAGCTGTTTCCTCTGAGACCAGCTCACCTCCCTTTTCTCTCTTCGATTAGTCACCAGCATTTCTGAGACTTAAGCCCACAATAGGAGGACTTCTTGGGCTTTGGGGTGGGAGAGCAGGAAGAATCTTCCCAGGAATTGGATAGTTCCTCTTTCAGTTGTGCACACGGAGAAGGCCACTCTTCCAAGGGAGGGCTCTCCACTCTGCTAGGCCTCTTTAAGTGTGCCAAGTCCTCTCCAGGCTGGATTTCTTCCTCCTCAAAGGACTGAATTGGAAGCAAAGGCAATAGCCCTACTTGAAGCGGGGGTTTCTCCTCCTCCACTGGCCTTGCAGCGGGAAGTGGGGCTACCCCTTCATTGGCTAGCAGTACCTTGGGTGCAATTCGGACTCGCTTGTTATGACGGGCGAGCTCTGAGCTCATAAGCGAAGCTGCCAGAGGCAATGGCCTCTTCACCAAGGGCTGTAACACCAGGGACTGGTTCACTGGGCACCATGTATGAGCTGACCCATGGGAGTAGTGGCTTCATCTTTCTCCACGCGCCCAGTGGGAGTTTAGTTTTGATGGTCACATTTCTACAGAGCTCAGGATTGGGCCGTTTCTGCTGCGATTCCAAGTGCTTGGGCAATTGTGGAGACTCTGGTTCTCCACAAGTGGCTTAAACACTTGGTCCAATGTCAAGTAGCAATTGGCAACCGGGTGAATGGTCCAGAAAGAGACCTTGCCAATGTCTCCAAAACAAATATGTCATGGGAGAAAGGTTGTGACGAATAAGAGTTCTTCCAGCCTGGCTTGGCAATGTGCTTAAAATAGGGGAGGTTGTCCTCGATCCAAGAGTAGATATCCTTCAAGGTCATACGCTTTCTCTCAGTGCTGCTGACTGCCAACTGTATCATGGCCATGTAAGAGCAGGGTGGCCTCTCAGACTCAGAGTCCTGCCAAGATGTGGACACTCCTGAGGGCTGCAGGTGACAATTCTCCTTCTCTTCCATCTCCTGCTTAGTACTGCAGGGGCCCAGCCCATCAGAACTCATCTTCCCAAGTCACTGGATGTTAGTTAAGCTGTTGTCCAGCCTGCAGCCTGCCACTTCGCTGCCAGCACAGCTTTGCTTCCTTTGCATTGGAAGAGCTCCGGTGGTTTGGGGACAGGCCATACCCTTAGTTACTGGCTTTGGTTCCAATGTCTTGGTGATCACTTCTGTCTTCTTGGAATAATTGCTGGTTTGGGCTTGAGGCTGGGGACCAGGAGGGTGAGATGAGGTCTGTCCCCTGCCTCCCAACAGATGAGGATGAACTTGTTGGGTTCACAGCTGCCACTCTCTTTCCCTTTGGCGGTTAGTGCTGTGATGATGCTCTGGATGTCGGCATTGTTGGGAATGTTCGCCCCTTGTATGTTGGGCATGGTGGGGTGGTTTATAACCTTGATTCCATCTGGAAACTTGCAAGAACTGGACTGTGCCACCTCCTGGGAGGCCTGTGCTTGAGTAGGCTCCTGCTAGACAGGGGGTCTCTTTGCTTCTTCCCCTGATGTCTCGCCTGGAGCATTTTGAATAGGAAGGGGCAGCCTCCAATGAGAATCAATGGCTACGGGGCTGGTTCTCACCATGAAGCTGTGCTCTCACTTTCCATTGAGAATCACACGCATTGACCCTCACAGGCCGAGGCAAGTAGTAACAAGGAGAAAGTAAATACTTGGTTCAAAGAGTTCATTTATGCTAAAAAGCACACGATGCTTATAAAAGTGGTCATTTTATTTTACACACTCAATAGTTAGAAGTGCCCCAATCTAAAAGTATTCCAACAAGGATTGCCTGTGGGGTTTTGTTTTGTTTTGTTTTGTTTTTTCGAGACAGGGTTACTCTGTGGCTTTGGAGGCTGTCATGGAACTAGCTCTTGTAGCCGGGGCTGGTCTCGACCTCACAGAGCCCCGCCTGCCTCTGCCTCCTGAGTGCTGGGATTAAAGGCGTGTGCCAGCACTGCAGCACTGCCTGGCTGCCTGTGGGCTTTTTTTTTTTTTTTTTTTAATGATCTATTTTTTTAAAACATTTATCTTTACATTTTAAAGCATGTGATGTATGTATTTATTGAATGCTAGCCATCCAACTTATTGAATTCTGAGGAAACACTTTGGAGTGGTTAACAATTAGCTCTGTGACTTTCAGTAAGTTATTTAACCAAGGAAAGTCAGAGCAGGAACTCGAGGCAGGATCTTGAAGCTAAAAACCGAGGAAGAAGGTTTTTACCTTCTTCACAACACAGGCACACCTGCTCAGGAGATGCCCCTTATTGTTTTATTTTTATTTTATGTGTGTCTGTGAAGGAGTCAGATCCCCTGGAGTTACAGACAGGTGTGAGCTGCTATGTCGGTGCTGGGAATTGAATCCAGGTCTCTGGAAGAGCAGCCAGTGCTTTTAACCACTGAGCCATCTCTCCAGCGCTGGGTTTGTTTTTAAACATTTGAAAGAAAACTTTACCTTAATTTATGCATGTCTGTGTGCATGCTTTGGTCTGCATGTGGCGATCAGAGGCCGAGCCGCAGGAGTCGGTCCTCATGTGCTTTCCAGGGATGGAAATGAAGCCCTCAGTCGTGGTGGCAGTCACCCTCACCCACTGTCACCCTATTAGCTTTCAGTAACAATCGACAACAGGGAATTTGGTAACTTACTAGATGGATTTCAACCCCCACCCTCCCTTTTTTTCTTGCAATGACATTGGACTGAAAACAGGAAGACGATTTCGTACATTTTTCTATCTAGACATCCTTATGAATAGCAATGTTTGATTCAACTACAAAGCAAGTAAGACATACAAACAAATGCACGGTGATTGAGATGGCAGAGCTGTAAAAGCTGGAAGCACTTGCCACACAAGCACAATGCTGGATTCCTGGAGCCCACTGTGGAAGGAGAGAACTAACTTGTGAAAGTCACCTGTCCATACATGGGCTGATTTGCTCTTACGCATAGGTACACACCAAACAGTTTAAAAGACATGCACAGTAATGGTGGGAACAGAAACACTTAAAAAATTCATCCTGGATCGTTAGGTAGCTCAGCAGGTAAATATAACAGGAATAAATAAAGGACCCAAGCTTGAAGCTTGAAGCTGAAGACCAGAAAAGCAAAGCAGCCAGCCACTAGCTCTTACTCTACCTTATCTTAGACCAAAGCAGTGATCCTCAAACTGCTCCTGACTTCCCTGCTCCTCAGATTCACTCAGACTACTTACTATGCTCTCTACAACGTGGCTGGAGACTCCTGAGACTGACAACTGAAGACCCTGCTCCTATCTTTCATATCTCTCTAGTGCTGGGATTAAAGGTGTGAACTCTGTTATTCTTCTAGACTGATTCAGTCTCATGTAGTCCTGAGTGGCCTGGAACTCAGAGAGATCCATCTGCCTTTTGTCCCCTGAATCCTGGGATTAAAGGTGTGTGACACCACTGCCTGATCTCTATAGCTTGAAACTGACTTTGTTTTCTGAATCCTCAGGCAAGCTTTAATGAATCATAAATAATATATCACCACAGAGAAAGGCACTTGCTGGCAGACCCTATGACCTGGTGACCACACTGTGGAAGCAGAGAATCAACTTCCTAAAGGTCCCAGGGCCTCACATGTACCAGGGCATCTCCACCCCAAGGTACATAAGATGTAAGGTAACAAAAATAGTCTGAGGCCAAGTGGCAATGCATGGGAAATACGGTAAACTGGCAAGTTACTGTAGTAGGTGCTTTTCTACATACAACTGAACAGTGGCTATACAGTTATGAGTTCATCTGTAAGACATTCCAGAAAAGACAACGCTGCAAGGAGAGAGAACCAAGTCTGTGTTTGCCTAGGAGCTGGGTGTGGAAGGAACTTCCCACCAAGGGGCACATACAAGCTTTCTGAAATAGAGAACCACTTTTATCTGTGTGTGTGTGTGGGGGGGGGTTTAAACAGTGTTTCCCTGTGTAGCCCAGGGTGTCCTGGAACTAGCTTTGTAGATCAGGCTGGCCTCAAATTCAGAGATCCTACTGCCTCTGCCTCTACTCTGTCTCTTGAGTGATGGAATTAAAGGCACAGCATCACAGACACAGCCTGATGACTGCAAAAACAAACAAACAAACAAACAAACAAAAAACAACAACAAAAAAAACGACTTAATGAGCTGGATGGAAGAAAGGTGATTTCATTACCCCACGCCTGATGACTGCAAAAAAACAAACAAACAAACAAACAAAAAAAAACAACAACAAAAAACCGACTTAATGAGCTGGATGGAAGAAAGGTGATTTCATTACCCAAGGAGAAAAATAGATGTGGAGGTTCATTCGCACACACAGAATTTATAAATGAAACAGTGGACCATTAAAGGAAGATGTTAACTAATAAAACCTTTATACAGGATACAAGGACTCCAGGGTGACAATGAGACCCAACAGGGGTGTGTTGGGCTAAATGGCTGTGGGAAGGTTTTGCAGGACTGCGCCTGCGCGGTTGCAGGTCAGTCAGGGGCGTGGCGTCGGCGCGCTGCTCCCTAGGGAAGTTGAGGGGTGATCCCAGGTCCAGGAGTGTGGTTGTGGTGACTCAGTGAGTACCTGCCCCCCTCTCCTGCCTTCTGCCCACAGGCCCACTGCACCCCCCACCCTGCTCCGACCTCTGGGCAGCCCCAGCTCCCTCCCACTCTGCCCTCGTGCTGCTGTCCCTCCCCAGCTTGCCGTGGTCTCTGTTCTCTCTCTTGCCAGTGGCTGCTCCCCGCCCCGCCGCCAGCCACAAGGCAGAGAGCGGGGAGGGCAGAGGGAGAGCCCCCGGGGGGTCTGCGGGAGTCTTGCCCGCAAGCAGCTTCTGGCAGTGCACGCAGGAGGAGGGCAGGCAGGGTTAGAATTCGTCCAGGGCAAAGGCCAGTTGGCTGTAATTAAGGATGTGGCGAAGGCCTCCAGCTCCGCAGGCAACAACTCCCGTCCTTTTTCTCTTTGTTTCCTTCTGGCCCTTGGCTGTTGAGTCAGAACTACTATGGGAATGTTCTGAAGACATCTGCAAACCTCCAGACTAATGCTTGTGTCACCACAGCCAAGCTGGTCCCCAAGTACATCCGGGAAACTCTGAAGAATGTACATGAAGATGTTACTTCGAGGTAGTGCCTATGCTGTTCCCACGCAGCCTCCAGATCTCATTTAGCCATCTCTGTTGGCTATCCTGCTCCTCCACTGAACCCCTCCCCATTGCAGGAGACATTCAAGCTCCTTGGACCCTGACAGACATTCAGGTTTTTAATAGAACAGCCATGGCTCCTAATCTTGCCTTTCCTGGCATAGTCTTGCCCACTCAGGGAGCAGTTACCTTTACTCCCTGCCTCTCCAACACCTCACTCAAGTCCTCCTGGGGTCATGAAGCCTTCGGCCCCCAACCACCACAGCACCCACTCCCAGTTGCACCCAGGCCTGTCAGTCAATCACAGGAAGGGTTTCCGTACTGTAGTTTTTACCTCTCAAGTTACAGAACGTGCACCCAAGAGAGTACTTTTCTTGTTCAGCAGTCAGTGCCTTAGATGTATTTATTCAACAAATATTTTAGATGGTTTTCTTGAATCTTGCTACCTTGTGTGGTGCCCAACAACACTGTACTACGGCAGACATGGCCCCGTTTACTGGGAGACACAAAACAGAAATATAAGTGGGTAATGGAGGGAGCGAAGTATAGATTCCTATTTGAGCATTTTCTAGCCTTTTTTTTTTAAAGCGTGTCTTTTCCATTTCTCAGGTATTATGGCTGTGGTCTGGTTGTCCCTGAGCGTCTGGAAAACTGCCAGGTTTTGGATCTGGGTTGTGGAAGCGGCAGAGATTGCTATATGCTTAGCCAGCTAGTTGGCAAGAAGGGACACGTCACTGGAATAGACATGACTAAGGCCCAGGTAAGGCAAAGGTTTGGAGGAGAAAGAGGAGGTTTCTTCAGAACATTCTTTGAGGCCTGAAACTGCTTCCCACTGTTCTTCATGGTATTTAAGAAGGCTGGGAGCCGGGTGTTGGTGACTCTTGCCTTTAATCCCAGCACTCGGGAGGCAGAGGCAGGCGGATCTCTGTGAGTTCGAGGCCAGCCTGGTCTACAAGAGCTAGTTCCAGGACAGCCTCCAAAGCCACAGAGAAACCCTGGCTCGAAAAACCAAAAAAAAAAAAGAAGGCTGGGGGTTTTGCTGCTGTCATTTGTGCCTCTAGTGACATACAAGTTGAAGGCATTGACGATCAATGACTGTCCTAGAAGTCAGTCGGAGGTTTAACCTGGCCTGCCCAGGGGCACTTCCTCTCCTCCTTTCTTCATCCTTCTGTCCAGAAAGACTTGTTATTGGATACGAGGTTAACTCAAGCAAGACTCACAAAGTTGGGAACTTCTGTCCCAGGCTGTTGCATATCTTACGTGTCTCAGGAATCTTGTATATTTATCTAAAATAACCCAGGGCAGGGGAAGCATATGGCATTTGTAATAGGGCAGTTTTGGGTGAGGAGGGAGTTTTTGAATAATGTTGATTACCAAATCTGTATTTTTCTTTCTCTAGGTGGAAGTGGCTAAAACCTATCTTGAGTACCACATGGAAAAATTTGGTTTCCAGGCACCCAATGTGACTTTTATTCAAGGATGCATTGAGAAGCTGACAGAGGCCGGGGTCCAGAAGGAGAGCTACGATATCGTTGTGTAGGGCTACAGCCTTTCTTTTCTGAGCAAAGCCCAAGTCATTTTGAGCACACAGATGCTATCACTCTTTGATGAGCTGACTCTTTGCTTAAGGAATTAAACCAGGGGCTGAAGAGATGGCTCAGCAGTTAAGAGCATTGGCTGCTCTTCCAGAGGACCCAGGTTCAAGTCCCAGCACCCACATGGCACCCCACACCTGTCTTTAACTTCAGTTCCTGGGGAACCTACACCCTCACACAGACACACATGCAGGCAAAACACCATTGCACATGTAATAAAAATAAATATTTTTAGAAGGTTTAAAAAAGAAGAAGGAATTAAACTGAACTTTGTAGGCCTTCATAACGGTAGAAAACTTTAATAAGCTCCCTACAGCCTATTAACAACAAAACACAGCTGCCTGAGAGAGAATTCAAAGTTTCCAGGTGTGTCTAGCCTCTGGTACAACCTTGTGCTCAAGGATAGCTCAAGGATAGGACACAGTTCAACACAAAAGCATAAACTTAAACTATTATGAGGGTGGGTTCATTTTTGGTCACTTATGGACACAGTTCAACACAAAAGCATAAACTTAAACTATTATGAGGGTGGGTTCATTTTTGGTCACTTAATTGTGCGTTTGTGGGTGTATGCACATGAGAAGACAATGCCATGTTGCATTGTCAACACTCCTGCCCCCCAACCTTAATCCAGTAAACTCCCCAGACCAGCCAGACCACAGCCTGCTCCCCTGGAATGCATACTGACCCCTTACATGGAGTGTGATGGTGGGTTGTGTTGTAAGAAATTTGCATTGGAGCATTTCCTAACTGCGTGAACATCAGCATGTGCTTACCCAGACTTGGATGATCAAGCCCACTGCACACTTAGGCTGTGTAGTGTACACAAAAGAGCCAGCCTATTGATACTAGGGCCTGATGAACCGAACCACAGAGCAGTTCAGACACAAGAAGTGATGCTATCCAGGGTTGTGGGAATCACTCCAGACGTGAGAGACTGCTGTTGAAAGAGTCCAGCAGACTGTTTACAGCACTTCTTTTTGTAAGCAGAGTATGTTCACTCTAAGATGCATAAAAGCATAGTAAACAAAGGCCAGTAGCAACATGTTCTCTAAGTGCAGTGCACTGTGTGTCCATCCCATGTGTTGTACGTCTCTGTAACTGGCAGCCAGTGAAGGCGTGTGGACTCCAGCCTTGTCACAAACACTTGGCTAATGTACCATGGCATTGTTCTGGCTGTTGCAGTACTAGACAATAACAGGCCTTATTGTGATCTTATGAGACAACCATCATGTATGTGGTTTTCTTTTTTGTTTTGCTTGTTTTGAGACAGAGTCTCACTGTGTAGTTATGGCTAGCCTGGAACTTGCCATGTAGACCAGGTTGACCTTGAATGTACAGGGATCTGTTTGCCTCTGCTTCCTGATTAAAGGCGTACACCACCGCCTTTAGCAATGACTGCATTTTCCCCCCCATGGCAAATTATGGTGTTTTGTTTCTCATTTTCCTGAGTTAGTAAATCATGCCCAAGTGACAGGGTCTGCTGTGTTTTTTCTTTTGATGCTGAGAATGGAACCTTAAAGAAGCATTTTGCCACACACCCAGCCTCAAATGGAAATACCGGGAAAGCTGCCTTCGAGGGACTCTGTTCTCACGTGGCTTGAACACCTTGCATGATGGGCATTTGAGTCCAGGTTTTGTTCTGTTTCCTGGTAAACATCAGGACAAAAACAAGAAGCATGTTTCATATTCATTCTGTTGCGTTTGTGCTCACTGGCCGCTTACTGATAAGTCTTAAACAAACGGCCTATCTCCCTCATCCTGGAAAAAAGTTGCATATCGGGAAGAAAGGAGAGTCTGCAGGGATCAGGCAGCGTTGATGGGGAGATGGAAGCCCCTTTAGGTCTTAAAGGATTTGAGTCCTTCAACATCTGCTCCCCCCCTTCTTATTTTTTTTTATTTTTTATTTTTTTAGATCCAACTGTGTTATCAACCTTGTCCCTGATAAACAGCAAGTGCTTCAGGAGGTGTATGGCGCGCTGAAGGTGAGAGGAGGGAGAGAAGTGACTATTTGTTTATTTACATTCCAATCCCAGTTCCCCCTCCTTTCTCTCCTCTTTCACCCTCCTTCTTCCCCCATCCCACCACCATCCACTCCGCAGGGAGGGTAATGCCTCCCCTGGGAATGATTTTTAAACCCCGGAGAGGGCTGACTGGGTCGTGTTCTTTGCTGGAACTAAGAATCCCAACTCTTGATTTATCCACCAAATTGCGAAGGGTCCAAGTTGGCCATGGTCCTCTGCTATGCAGGGAGTTCAAAGCCAACCTCAATTATATAAAGAGGCTGTTTCAAAAGACAAAGAACACAAAAGGCCGGGCAGGGTAGGGCTGGGTGGGTGGGTGGGGAGGGGCTAATTTTGAAATACTTTCCTCCTTTTCTGCTGTCTTACCTCCTTTCCTGCTGTTTCTGGCTACTGTTGACTCACAATAACATCCGCAGAGGAGTCCCAGGAACCAGTTGATTCACCCTGAAAAGTCTCTATAAATTTGACTTTTCCTAGAACAGACTGTTTCTCAGTAATATTATTTCTGATGCCAAGGTATCTTATCTTTGGAAAATCTAAGATGGACATTTTATACAAATGCCTTTTTAAAGGGGGTTTGGAGGACTTGAGGTGTAGTTCAGTGGGAGATGTGATTAGCATAGATAAGGCCCAATCCCAATCATTGTAAATACAAATTCTGGGATTTTTGGCTTAAGGGGTATTACATAGCTCAAATAGAAGTATATTAAGGGCTGGGGTTCAGTGGTTAAGAGCACTGGCTGCTCTCCCAGAGCACCCAGGTTCAATTCCCAGCACCTACATGGTGCCTCACAACCATCTGTAATTGCAGTTCTAGGGGCTCTGATGCCCCCTTCTGGCCCCCGGGGGTACCAGGACACAGATATCCATGCAGGCAAACACTTAGGCATGTAAAACAATACAAATTTAAAGTCCCGTGTAAGAATGACCTCATGTTATTTCAAGGATGCCGTTTTGGACACCAGTTCATGCTCTTCACTGAGCTCAATTAAGAGAAGCTAAACCTTGCTACAGAATATAGAATATAGGCTTCCATGCTTTTGACATTAGCTAAATAACACAGACACACTTCTTCTTATTCTTTTTTTTTTTTTAATGTTTCTCTGTTGTTTTTTTGAGACAGGGTTTTTGTGTAGCTCTGGCTATTCTGGAACTCATGATGTAGATCAGGCTGGCCTCCAATTTAGAAATCCTTCTGCCTCCACCTCCTGAGTGCTGAGATTAACGGCTTGCACCATTACTGCTGGTCTTCATTATTGTAGTTTTCTTTCTTTCTTTCTTTCTTCCTTTCTTTCTTTCTTTCTTTCTCCCTCCCCCCCTCTCTTCTCTTTGTCTCTCTTTCCCTCTCTCTCTGTCTCTCTCACAGGATTTCACTGTGTAGCCTTGGCTGTCCTCAAACTAGCTCTGTAGACCAGGTTTGACTCACAGAGATCTGCCTGCCTCCTCTGCCTCCCAAGTGCTGGGATTAAAGGCATGTGCCACCACTATGGCTCAATTACTGTAATTTTCAAGCAGCAAGACTGTTAATTCTATGGATTTGTCTGTTAGTTGTCTAGATACCTAAAGCTATGTTCTGTTTGGACTTGTTAAAAAGTTAGGCAACCTAAATGTTGCCTAACTCATTTTTCCCCCTCCTGTGTTCTTGTTTATTTAAAAACTTCCTGTTGACTCTTTCCTTTCTGAGTCTTAGAAAGTACCTTTGTGTTGGATAGGACACTGGAGAAATTAAATGCCTCTGCCCCTGTGTGTTGGTTTTAATGTTCAAAGGTCAGATTGGTCAGTATCAGCTCAAACATTGGAATTTTGAAGTTGAACTCCTGCACTCATCAATTTTTTTTTGTTATCTGGGACCAATGTAATCTTTAACCTTGCTCGAACTGTGCCCTGCTTTTTTTCAGTACGGCGGAGAGCTATACTTCAGTGACGTCTATGCTAGCCTTGAAGTGCCAGAAGACATCAAGTCACACAAGGTTTTATGGGGTGTGTGTTCTTGTGTTTATTGACATCAATGGTTATTAACTAGCATAGAGCTCCACCCTGCACACAAGTTGGGGTGAGACGACTAGATGGGAGAGCAAGCGGTGGAAGGCCGGAAGGTTCTGCCACCCAGAAACAGCATGAGTGCCAGTGAGACGGATCCCCGGGGAAAGGCACTTGTGCCTCAAGGCTGGCAATCTGAGTTTGATCTCTGGAACTCATCTAAAGGTTGAAGGAGAGAACAGAGTCCACAGAGCTGTCCTGTGACATGTGACACATGACACATGTCCCCCCCTAACACTATGAACTTTTTAAAAAATAATCTCACACAATTAAATTCTTTTATCGGGGCTGGAGAGACGGCTCAGAGGTTAGGAGCACTGGCTGTTCTTCCAGAGGTCCTGAGTTCAATTCCCAGCAACCACACGGTGGCTCACAACCATCTGTAATGAGATCTGGTGGCTTCTTTTGGCATGCAAGCATATATGGAGGCAGAATATTGTATTCATAATAAATAAATAAATCTTTAAAAAAATAATCTTTTACCATTTTCTAGACTGTAAAGTGAAAATAATAACAGACCACTTTAAAAAACTATTTTGAAGAATAAATGAGATATTTATTCCTTTAGTGTCATTTAAGAGTCATTAGAAGTTGCAGAGAGAAATGCATGTCCATGATCAGTCTGACTGAAAGTAACAATTTTTGCACTAAGCTGATACATGCCTGTGACCTCAGCTCTTTGGAGATGGAGAAAGAGGATCAGTAGCCATTCAAAGCTGACACAGGCTACATGATGAGACACAGTCTCAAAAACATATATTGTTTTTTAAATAGATTGTGTTAGCTTTTTTTCTTATTATACAATGATATAAATGGATAATGTTAAAAGCAGGAAATAGGACCTATGAGATGATTCAGTAGGCAAGTCACTTTCCTTACATGCCTGATGAGCTGAGTTCAGTCTCCAGAACTCATATAAAAAGGTGTATGAAGGCCAGGCGTTGGTGGTGCCTGCCTTTTTTTTTTTTAATAAAGCA